GCCTCAATCGGATATCGGAATACAAAGTTATGATAAAAACACTGAAAGAAGGTGCAGCTGCCTGTTTAAAACAAGAAATTCCGTTACATAGTCCGTTAAAACAACAAATTCCGTTAATTTTTCCGTTAAAAACAAGAAATTCCGTTACATAGCCACTTTTAATATATAGAAGATATTTTTCAATAAAATAATATTACATGAAAACCCAATTTTTTTTTTTTTTTTCATTTTTTCACCACACATTCTCATTCCAAATTACATTTTAGCAGCTCAAAAGTAACTTTAAGAGAACAAAACACCCTATGTGCCATAAATATATTTTTGCTTTCATTTTTTACATGTTCCAAATTATAGATTAGTTTCCTTATTGAGAGTATATTTGATTTTTTAGTTTTCTAATATACACCTCTTTAATGTGCTTTGTTATCAATAAATATGAACTACTCATATTTAAACCATTATTTAATGTAGGTGTATATTTGAAAAATGAAAGGAAAATTTATGTTTTTCACTATATTAATTATATTCTCTTAACTTATGTAAAAACAAAAATAATTACATCTTTGTGAGACGGAGGGAGTAACAATATTTTCACAATTGTCAATCTTCCCTTTTTGCAGAGATTGACATGAAAAATATTTCGTAAAAAAGAAAATACTTTCTTTGTTTTGAAGAAAATAGAAACATACATTCCCAAAGAAAATGTTTTCCTCAAAAATAAGAAAAATTAAGTATATTTTCAAATGTTGGAAAGTATTAATAGCAACTAAACACTCCAAAAGTTAAAATTTTGGTGAAAAAATGTCATTTTCCATGGAAAGTTTTCCAATCAAACACACATTGCATACATGTTAATGTAACTTTATTTTACGAAAAATAAATAGTAAATTTCAGAAAATTAAGCTTCTCAAGGGATAACAAAATATCTATTTGATTCTTTTTTAGTGGAAGAAACTAGGTATGTGAGTGAAGTTTTTAATAAACAATCAAGGATTTGGGTAAAATTCTCGATTCATATAGATATTAGTTACTAGAGAATCGAGATTCAATTGATATCAAAAATAAAACAATTGATCAGGTCATATAGAATAGGCCAAACGCAATGAGTAAATTTCATAATATAATAAAAACTTGAGATCTTCCTCTAACTTTGAGCTTAAACCCAAAAGGCTTCAACTCATGTTTGCACAAAACAAATGAAAAATCAAAAAAGGGAATAAAAATCAGAAAT